GTTTCCAATGTGTATTGGCAAGTGGTTGATTCCAAATTTTCTACAAGTGAGTATAAGTCACAAATGGTATAAGTCATTTTCCACTCTGAACTAGACCAAGGATCTTTTGAGCTTCCGATCTCCTTCATTCAGCCTTGTTGTTGCTTTTAATGACAAATGCATGAGGAGAATTTTGAAGTGCTGTTTGGTTAAATTAAGGTGTTGTCACGATTTCTGTCCCTCGGGGTGCCGTCCGATCACAAAAATGATGTATTTTCTGAGTTCTGATGCACACATATTTATCCATATCTTCCTGGTGCCTTATTATGACATCATATATAATGTAGACCACTCCCATTAGGCCTCTTTTATAGCATAGACATATTATACATAGACGCCACATTGACTTCTGAGGGGCGAGAAATGCGGGCGCCATTTTGGGCCGGTCGTACTTCCATATGCTTCCATAGACATATATGGTAGTATCATTTTCTTTAAACTTTCTATACAAGCTAGATTGAAGTACAGTATAGGTATATTAAATTAACCATGTCACTCCAGGTTCCCGATTAGCTGTAACAAGTCCCAAGGCAGTAAATATATAACATTATATATAATGTAACAAGGATACATTTAAATATTTGCTTTGCGAACTGTTATAGCATTCCTTACTTTCTACACCTCAGTTCAGCACTTTCATTCCCATAGGATCCGTGGGTACTAAACTGTTGTAACACCCACTGACTTATAAAGTAGGCAAGCTGACTTCACCATATTCCTCCTGCAAGCATGCAGAGTATGGTGTAATGACCCACCACAGCCAGGCTCAGCACTGACACCGAATATGGTGTAATGACCCATCACATTCAATCTCAGCACTCACAGAAAGAAGTAGAAAGGACAGCTTCATTGCTAGTTATGAAGTTATGAACTGAAATGTTTATATACTTTTATTTTACAAAAAACACATTCTTTATAGCTGTTGCTCAAAATGAGCACCTACTGTAGTACAAGACATTGTGACCTTATTTTTCTTTTAACAATGTGGCTCCATTGCCAAAAGAAATAAATGGGAAAGTTAAAATATGCCAAACCTATATGTCTATGGTGTCCGGTATTCTAGTGGGTGACCGATCCAAGATGGTGGCCCCGCGGCTCATTAGCGCCAATAGATATTAGCGGTCAATACGGCGTCTAGGTATTATATGTCTATGTTTTATAGTGTCAGCCCATGTATCGCTTTTTGATGATGTGTACAGGCTTGTGACATCATGAATACAGAGAAAACAAACTCAATGTTTGGGTGATCAACCCCACCAACTAGCACACAGAGTCCAGAAGTGCAGCGCTTCAAATAATATATTTACACATATCCCATGGTATATATAGGGGATTTTCCACATGTAAAAAACAGAAATATATATAATAGTGCAATATTGTATGTTACTTTAAAGATATATATTAAAGGACCACTATAGTGCCAGGAAAACATACTCGTTTTCCTGGAACTATAGTGCTCTGAGGGTGCCCCCACCCTCAGGGTCCCCCTCCCGCCTGGCTCTGGAAGGGGGAAAGGGGTAAAAACTTACCTTTTTCCAGCGCTGGGCGGGGAGCTCTCTGCCTCCTCTCCTCCTCCGATCCGCCCCGTTGGCTGAATGCGCACGCGTGGCAAGAGCTGCGCGCGCATTCAGCTGGTCGCATAGGAAAGCATTCATAATGCTTTCCTATGGACACTTGCGTGCTCTCACTGTGATTTTCACAGTGAGAATCACGCAAGCGCCTCTAGCGGCTGTCAATGAGACAGCCACTAGAGGCTTTGGAGGAAGGCTTAACCCATTGATAAACATAGCAGTTTCTCTGAAACTGCTATGTTTATAAAAAAAATGGGTTAACCCTAGAAGGACCTGGCACCCAGACCACTTCATTAAGCTGAAGTGGTCTGGGTGCCTAGAGTGGTCCTTTAAGGTGAGTATAGAAAAATTAAAACATTTTACAGCCTTTTTTGATATCATCTCTAAACAAAAACTGTTAGATAACTGGCTCCAAAATTTCCACTTAGTGTCAAATTCCTAGGGTGAAACCTACCTGTTGGAACCGTAGTAGCAAACGCAGGATAAAGATAAAAAGGGGGCTTAACTATAAAAACTATATTTTTTAGATTAACATAACGTTACAAATTAATAGGCAATAAGTCCTTCTTATCTGTCCTTCTTATGAGCCCAAGACGCGTTTTGCGTTTCCACTTAGGAATTTGACACTAAGTGGAAATTTTGGAGTCAGTTATCAAATGGACCCAAAGAAATTGAAAACAGTGTTAGGATGGCCTCTGCCACTGGTAATCAAGGCTATCCAGAGATTTGTGGATTTTGCCAATTTTTATCGAAGGTTCATCCTGGGATTCTCTTAGATAATAGCTCCTATCAACAACATGACCAAGAAGGGTGCTAATACCAAGCAATTGTCCAAGGAAACCAAGCAGGCTTTTGAGACTCTGAAACAAGCATTTTTCTCTGTTCCCGTGCTTGTCCACTCCGATCCTCATAAACCCTTTGTTCTAGAAGTGGACGCATCTGGAGTTGGTGTGGAGGCAGTGCTTTCTCAAAGGTCATCGCCTGAATCTCCTTTACATCCTTGTGGCTTCTTTTCAAGGAAATTGACACTGACAGAAAGGAACTATGACATAGGGAACAGACAGTTGTTGGCTATTATTCTTGCCTTGAAATAATGGAGACACCTCTTGGAGGGTTCTAATATACCAGTTATGATACTTCTGGATCATAAAGATTTGTCCTACATCAGCGATGCTAAAAAATGTTTAAATTCTAGACAGGCTTGTGGTCTCTTCTTTTATCACACTATAACTATGTGATTACATATAGACCTGGTAGTAGAAACATCAAGGCAGATTCCCTTTCCAGGCAATTTGATGCTCCTGACTCTGATAACCAAGAGGAGTCACCTATAGTACCTCATGACAGAATCATAGCTATCCAAAAATTTATAAAGTAATAGAGGTCCAGGCACTCCCTGGTTCAAGACAGGTACTAAGCACCACAGGAAAGAAAGAAGATACAGTTATTAATCTTTCTTCACAAGAACTATCTAGTGAAGAACTAGTGGTGTTAGAAAAAGGTTTGAATTTGTGTCCTATGTATACTCCCAAAGATCTAGATATTAATCGATGTAGATTCTTTTGTAGTCTGAGACTCAAAGTATTCTTAAGTAAGCGAAGGACTTAAATCAGGAACCTGACCTCATCTCATTAATTTTATTTGATTCTAAATTTTGGTTACTTATAAATAATTTTTTCTGTTTTATGTAATTTACTATCTTGTCTTTTTTTGTCATTACAGACATTCCTCAATTGCTGGTGTTAGTCTTCTAGATACATTATATTTTATAATCTGACCAGTCTTATATGGTGAACATGAAATTCCTTAATATAAAATAGTGAGCATGTCAGTCCTTAATATAATAGTATAATTATATGATTAATGTGTTATTTACATCTATATTCTTACTTTTCTATTAAGTATCCAGATTATGTTTGTAGTTGAACTGAGATGACAGTCCTCTATTATATCCTTTGTGGATATCTCTTTAATTAAAATTATACTACTGCCATCTCTCTTCATTATTTTTTTTTATATTTTCTTATTTACACTTCCTTACACTTTGTTTGCACTATTAACACTTTTAATCTTTCATATACTTTCTTATTTTGTATGGTATTTATTTTAATTTAATAACCAATGACTTCATTCTTATATATATATATATAGCCAACTTAATTCGAATACAGTTTAACACTGGTTTAAATCCTATACACTTTGCACTTCGCGATCACCTACAGTGATTATAGTCAAATTTTTGTCTCTTTAAAAGTTTTAAATTATGCAGATATTATATTCACTTCGACTCCAAATGAGTCATTATAGCCTATTTAAGGTTATTTTTCTATATACACTTTTCTATATAGAACAATTCTGTGAATTTGATGTGTTAAGGATACTTAATAGCAATACTCTGTGATCTTGATCAAGGATGTCTAATCGATAATGGAAATAACTTACTTAATCTTTTATACACACTTTCTTCTATATATGAAAACTCTTTGAACTTGATGTGCTTTATGTGTTAAGGATACTTAATATTAATACTCTGTGATTTTGATCAAGGATTTCTAACCGATAATGGAAATTTCTGTAATCGTATACTCTGGTCTTATCTTTATATTGTATTTATGTTGTGTATATGTGTATTTTATGTCCTATATACACTTGGATGTTATGTCAGTATCCATATAAAAATAATATATACATTTCATTTTCCTCTATCAACAAATTAATAAGTCTTTCAAAGTTTGTTTGTTTTTGACAATTAAGTATTAGACTCTCTTTCTAATTAATGTAATTAAGTAGTGCCGATAAGTAGTATACTACTTTCAGCTGTTAAACAACTTGCTTAGGATACTGATTCACAAGTGTATTTCATAATTGTGATTCTTTAACCCCTTAAGGACGGAGCCAAATGTACACGTTGTGAACAAAACAAAATGTAAACAAAACCTGGCATTTGCGCTACATGTCTGTCCAACCGTAATTCACCTCTTTCATAGTAAATGCACCCACCCTTATTTATATATCATTTTATTCAGGGGAAACAGGGCTTTCATTTAATATCAAATATTTAGCTATGAAACATAATTTAATATGAAAAAAATGGGAGAAAATACGATTTTTTTTTGATAATTTTAGTTCTACATGACATTTTAACGGTCAATGTCATAATACTGTTTGCTTTTACTGCAATAAAATACACATATTTGTATTCAGTAAAGTCTCACGTGTAAGGGGGCGTGGCCTGAGCTCCGACCGGGATGGACGCCTGATCTGTGAGCTCCGTACCGCCAGCAAACACAAAGCCTGCTAAACAGCGCCCATTAGCATTTATGGGGAGCCTGATGCACCGATAACCCCCAGTCCCCGAGGGGATCACAACACTGCCAAACTCACGGCCCGATGGACGGATTCGTCCAAACCCAGCCTGAATCAAGCGGGGAAGCAAGCAGTCCCAATATGGCGCCAACGGCCCCATCCCCCAGGGAACCACATGGCGCCGCGCTGGAAAGGATAGGAGACGAACTCCGCACCATGGCAGCGGCAATGGTGACCAAAACAGACCTCCTGGTCCTCACCACTACCATCCAGGATGCACTCAGGGCAGAGATGGCGGGAATTCGAGCGGAGGTGACGGCGCAGACGGGCCGCATCCAGGAACTGGAACAATCACAAGGTACTCATGCCGCCAGACACCAGGCCACAGACACAGCCCTTGCACGTCAGGGGGAACTATTGCTGCACATGAGAAGGTCAGTCGAGGATTTAGATAACAGAAGTCGAAGGTGCAATATTAGGGTCCAAGGGGTCCATGAACACGAGGGGGGGGGAAGAAGACATCACGGACACTCTAACTAGCCTGTTCCACCTGATACTGGGGGAAGATACACCCCGTACCCTTAAATTTGACCGTGCACACAGAGCCCTGCGCCCCCGGTCCCTGGAAGAAGGACCGCGGGACTTAATCTGCTGCCTTCACTCTTTTCAGGATAAAGATGCCATCATGAGAGCAGCCCGCTCCCGCCCGTCATGGGATTTTAAGGGGACTTCAATCTCCCTATTCAACGACCTCTCACCCATTACACTTGAGGCCAGGAGAGCCCTGAAACCCATAACCACAGCCTTACAGGAGCGAAACATACCCTACAGATGGGGCTTCCCCTTTGCATTGTTAGCCCGCAACCAGAATGGATGGGTGTCGGTCAGATGGCCCGAGGAGATCCCAAGATTCCTAGAAGAATTGAACCTGCCCCCGATATCAGTTCAGGACTGGGTCCTGGGCCCATTAGGAGGGAGGCCCCGCCAGCAAAGGGCACCCCGGAGGCGAGGGGATGATCCACCACGGGGACCGGCACTTCGCAGACGCAACAACCCAGAGGCACCTGAATAATAGGTAGGCCATATGGGGGGCTCTCTGCCCTCCACGTCCACGACCATCGGAAATGATGCCGTCCCGGCCCAGCCCGCGGAGGGGAATGCGGTGTAGACGCCCCTTGCCTTGCCCCCGAATATGACCTTGCCCCATCACCGAGAGGTTACCCCTGATCCCAGTATCTCCACGAAGCCTTGGGTGGGGAAAGGGTATTCTGTTTCTCTTCCTGATTGACTGGGGGGGAGACGGGGGGGGTACTAATGCTTTGGGGTTTCACACAAGGACCGAGGCCGTGAGCGAACGTTGGGGAGGGGGGTTTGTTGGGGGGAATTTGCGGTTCCTGATGGGCCCTGTTATTGGCCTCACAGACTTCACAATGTCTCAGTGGCAACAAGGAACATGCATGCTCAAGACGGAACAGAGTCCGACGGAACCTTGTCGCTGCAAACTACACTGACTCCTTTGTAGCCCCACACTCTGGACCCATGGTACAGGGCTGTGCCACTCGATACATAACGCTGGTCATGTATTTCATCTCACAAACCCTCTTAAGCATTGCAAATGTGGGTTACACATAACATTCTGTTCTTGAAAAAACTTATTTTGTCTCATATAGCCAGTGAACACCTGTGGTGAGGGCATACACATACCACACTTACTAACCGTGCTGCCCCCGGGATGGGTGTGGGAACAGGGCCCGAGACGCAACTGACATCAAAGGGCATATCCCCGAGGGGAGAGGGGGCTGGGGCGGGCCTTGACGAACAGCCACCATGATAGGTATATAAGAACGTGGGGCTGGGGGGCGGGGTGTCCCTCCGGTGTGGGGGGGTGGGAGGAACCTGAAGGAGCAAAGGTCAGTTATCAGTCGTCTAGGAGGGCTAACCTAGGGGTCTGGGGGAGGGAGATAGATGGAGGACTTAGCAAAGGGAATGATAGCCTGTTTATATAAAGTTTGTAAGTTTTAACAATGTTTCTAGACTGTCCTGTTGATACACAGTCGATTTACTGATGGTCACTCGCAACAACTCTGTCAGGTGGCGCCCTGACACTTAGATACTTTCTACAGCACTAGGCTGTGGCGCTGACGGGGGAGACCAATGGGTTCTACTATTTCACGTATCCACACCAGATCGGGGCGTGGTCACAGTCTCCACCTAAGGGTCGTGCATCTCTGTTGACAGCGGAACCCCCGGGAGTCCACATCTCAGTCTGGTTACTGGAGAGGCTCCCAGCGACTCCTGCTGTCGCACGACAACTACCTCCTTAAACGAAGGAGGTGCTGAGGTGTATCCCCTTCCTACTTCCCTCTTCCTTAGGGGACACCTCTATTTGGGGAACTCTGTTTTACCCACTTTTTTACTCTCTTTCTCTCTACTTGCTGCACCCGCTTCTACCTACAATCCCTGGTGCCCCCCCCCCCCGGCTATACACGCAACACATACCCCACTCATATCGGTAACACTTTCCACTGACTGTCATTAATATAACAACACCCATTAACAAAGTCGGCAGAGGCTAGGGAGGAAAAAAGGGGCTAATACCGTACATGACAACCTGTTGCAGGGGTGACCGGAGGGCGTAGACCGGACCTCTGCTCCTGCGACTACACCGAACACTAACCCCTAGTGGGATACACCAGAGGGTGGGACCCCAACGAGACCCCAAGCTTAGCTACAGGGCAGGAGAACGGGAAACCGGACGCCGAGCTCTCCGGGTGCCCTCGACTCGCCCCCGGGATGATTACGCCTTACCATAACGCTCCACTGCGCATCTTGACCCTTAATTGTCGAGGACTAAATGTCCCGGAACGCCGTACTCACCTACTGCGAGAGTTACGGAAGACACAAATTTTAGTCGCTATGCTCCAGGAGACCCACTTCCTAGAGGGATCCGCACCGAGACTACGAAACCGATACTATCCCACTAACTTTTTTAGCAACCACAGAACGGCACGCAAAGCAGGCGTTGCCATCGTCCTGTCCGCAGACTTGGAATTCAGGTTGCTGGACAAGATGATCGACGCACAAGGGAGATATATTTTTCTCAAAGGCACCATTGCCGACAAACCTTACACGTTCGTATCAATCTATGTGCCCAATGCAAACCAAGCAAAATTCATTAGGGGTACCCTAAACAAGCTCCGAGGCTTCTCAGAAGGGGCCCTCATCATAGAGGGCGACTTTAACACGCCATTGGACCCCCAGAAGGACACCTCTACAGGCCGATGTAGCCTACCACCTTCCAGTATTCACTTGATTCGTAAATCAATGAGTGAAATGGGACTTGTGGACTGCTGGAGAGTGCTCCATCCGGACTCCAGGGACTACACCCACTACTCGGCTCTCCATAACCGCTACTCGCGAATTGATTATCTACTACTGCAACAGGAGGGCTTGTCGCGACTCAGGTCGGCCACCATAGGACCTGCCACCTGGTCAGGCAATGGTAGAATTGGAATCACCACTATTTAAACCGGCCCGTTGGATCTGGCGATTAAACGAGTCCCTACTCCAAGACCCTGACGTTCTTGGGGAAATTACACAAGCACTGGAACTGTACTTCCGAGAAAACGATACGGCAGACACATCGCCAATCACAATTTGGGAAGCACATAAAAGTGTAATTCGAGGCACGCTCATTAGAATAGCCTCCCGCAAAAGGAAAACAGCAATTCGTGAATTAACAGAAGTATACGAAACCATCGCAGAATTGGAACTCCAACACAAGCAGACTGTAATGATATTGATGTTACAAAGTTTTGGAGTCCAGTAGCCAGATCAGCAATGTTTTCTGCCAGAGGTAGCCACTCGTTACCCAGGTGGTTGAGCCCCTGAGCCTTGAGTGGCCTTCTGGTCTTAAGCAGAGATGGGAGACTGGAACAGAAAGATGATAATCGTAGTGAGGCAAGCCGAGGTCAGTGGGAAGGAGAAGCAGCAAAGTCAAAACAGTCCAAATTCAGCAACAGGAAGGAGAAACAGGAACACGCTGGATTAGAGAGTACAGGAACCACAATAATCTGGCAAAGGTACAGAGACAGGAAGTGGCTTTTATAGGCCAAGAACCAGACACCTGACCAGACACAGCTGAAGTGAGTTGTCACTGATAACCTTGACTCTACAAGCAATAGTATCAGATCTCAGGTAAATTTGCAAAAGGCAGGCTGGTGTACTGGTAAGGAAAAGGTTTAGCACCATGTAAACCAGGGTTCGAAACCCAGCAGAGTCAGTTCCTCACATTACCTCCACCTCTACAGGCGCAGCCTCTGGATGCCCTATTTCCTGGTTTAGCAGGGTACTGTGCATGGAAAGACTGAAGAAGATCAGGAGCATGAATATTGTCCACTGGTTCCCACGATCTATCCTCCTCACCATAGCCTTTCCAATGAACCAAGTATTGAAGCTTGTTGCGGAAGATCCTGGAGTCAAGAATTTTTTCCACCTCGTATTCATCTTCACCATCCACGAGGACTGGTGGTGGGGCAGGCAAGGCTCGACCAGGGAAAGTATTTTCATGAAAAGGTTTAAGCAGTGCCACGTGAAACACCGGATGTATTTTCATGGAATCCGGAAGTTGCAGACGGAAGGTGACTGCATTGATCTGAGCGATTATCTTAAAAGGTCCCATGAACTTTTGACCCAATTTATGAGAAGGAATCCTAAGCTTAAGATTCTTTGTTGACAGCCAAACCTTGTCACCAACATGATAAACTGGGGCCTCCTTTCTGTGCCTATCAGCAGCTCTTTTGTAACATTCCTGAGCCTCCGAAAGAGTCTCCTTCAACAGTTCTTGGGAATCTCGTAAGGCGGTTAGCCGGTCAGTGACTGCAGGAATGGGAGTAGTAATTGGGAGACTCACTAGAAAGGTTGGATGGTAACCATAATTGGCAAAAAATGGGCTCAGAGAAGTGGAGCAGTGTTGGGCATTGTTATAGGCAAACTCCGCCGTGGGTAGAAAATCCAGCCAGTCATCCTGCAGGTAACTAATATAGCACCGCAAATATTGTTCTAAAGTCTGGTTGGTTCGCTCAGTCTGTCCATTACTTTGTGGATGAAAAGCTGAAGACAGATTTACATTAATACCTAGAATAGAACAAAAATATTTCCAAAAATGAGATGTAAACTGCACTCCCCTGTCAGAAATTACTTCATCAGGCACTCCATGCAAGCGAAATATTTCCCGAATAACAAGGTCAGCAGTCTGTTTAGCTGAAGGGAGACCACGAGCTGGTATGAAATGACTCATCTTGGTTAACCGGTCCACAACAACAAGAATAGTAGTGTGTTCCTTAGAGGGAGGTAGTTCCACAATAAAGTCCATGGATATAGATCCCCAGGGACGATGAGGAATCGGAAGAGGCTGAAGCAAGCCAACAGGGGATGAGCGAGGAGTCTTATGTCTGGCACGTACATCACAAGATGACACATACTTCTTAACATCCTCATAATATTTAGGCCACCAAAAGGATCGGGTAAGTAGTTCTTGT